ACAATCTGTGATGGCGAGGAACGATGGAGACAAGGAATAAAAGAAACAGTCTTTAATCCAAGAAACACAGGGTACATCCAACACTGGGAACGGCAGGAAACACATGAACATAACAAGTAGAACCGACAGAGACAGACTGCACAGACTAGGACTTAAATACAGGGGATGATTGGGGAAACACAGGTGTATGGGATGACTAATCAAACTAATTAACAAAATGAGGACAGGAACATGGCCAAATAAGGGAACAGAAACAGGGGCAAAACATGACACAGACAGTCCATAATCCTGACAGGTCTCGTGATAACAAATATAATGTTTAATACTTCTGGCTGTAATATTACTATACAAATTATTATTATTATTTATTTTTTGAAAAAGAGAGACAAAAAAAAAAAAATTAGACAAACCAAAAGTATTTTCTTTCACAATTATTAGCATACCGCAGATTTAACTTGCACTGAACCCAGAAAATTCCTTTAAACAAAACACTCCCAACCTGGGACTGACCGGAATTCATAACAATAGACAATTTTGTCGTGTTATAGATTGGTGCAAGCATGTCGTCAGAACCCGGAAGACTAATTCGCCGAAAATTTGATTTTCCCATGGGGTTTTATTATACTTACTACATAAAGTATACTTAAAAATATACTTGAACTTTACTTAAGTATACTTACTAAAATAAACTTGAAGTATACTACTTTTTGGTAAGGGAAGCGTTTTTTCAATGTATGAGTAAAATAAAGCTTGTGGTAAACATAACTTGGCGATACTTTGATGTTTTGTTCTACAACATAAACTGCACACACTCACACCCCGAACTGTCTTATCATATTAACTGCCTTATCTTAAAACCCCATAGGAAAATCTCGGCAGCGAATTAGTCTCTCGGTTCTGACGTCATACCTGCACCACATTTGTTTCATTTATCTTATTTCTCTCAGTATAAACCCACAGCAGGATGCAGGTCATATTGAACCCCAGGTCAATGTTCTAGCGGATGGTTTAGCGGTGTCCCTCCTCTATGAGCCCCTGCCGGACCCCAGCGAGCCCCATATACGAGGCCTCCTCACCAGACTAGAGGTTCGTCTCTTATGCATGGGTGGTGCATCGACAGTCCGTCCTTACATTCTGTCAGAATGAACACTGTCATTAATGGAATGTGTCAGCAGTCATTATGCTCTCATGTCGAGGACATTTCATTTATTGGGATTTACGTTTCAAATTATGTTGCCATTGGAAACAGAACACTCTATTAGTGATGTTTGTAAATGCCTATCATTTTTGTCTTTTTGCATTCAGGCAGTGTCTCGGACTCTCCATAGGAAGGGCTATGAGGAAGAGGAGGAGGAAAAGGAGAAATGTGCACTTGAAAACAGAGTTAACTATATACGCTCTTACTTGCAGGACAGGTGAGCCGTACAGATAAACCTGATCTACGTGAACAGATATGACAAATATTTAGCCATTGTCACAAACTGTTCAGGCTTCTATGTGTGTGGTTGCTTCTAGGTTTGAACTCCACCTAAAATATCTCACGCCCAGTCTTGTGACATGTATGATTTCAGACAACAAGCTGTCATGAGAAGAGACGTCTCTTTTGCTCTGCCTCTCGATATCCAGTTTCATTTTAATGCTCATGACAAATAACTGTGCACTCGTGTTGCCAAAGCTTATTTACAAAAATTCAGACACACCTGCTTATTCTTAGCTGTAAAGTCGTTAAAACTATGACATCCACAAATGGAATTACAGAGGAGATACAGTGACCAAAAATGTTACGCAAATCAAAACTATTTTATATTTTGATTTCTTTAGGCAACACTCTATAGATGTCAGTTTTGTTCATTCTCTCAACAAACATCATGAGGTGCATCTTGGGATGCTTTTAATCAGAGTAATCGTCCTTCAGTGTCCACTCTAACCTATCCAATAAAAAATAAATACATATATTTATAATGTAATATATAAATATTATGCACATATGCACAGTTTATAACTGTTACAAAACAAACTGCATGCGTAAACCTTCAGATTAAAAACATTATGAGACAAATTCAGTCAAGTGTCTAACCTTGACTGATAGTGTACATAAATCAGGCAAGTTACATAATATAATATACAGAATAACAGAAAAATAAAGACAAAATTGAGGAAATTAAAGAAAAAAAATTAAGTTATAGGTAGAGGTAACAGATAAAAGGGCAAAAATTCAAGTATTGTAATGAACAAAACAATTTTTTTTTATTAAAGGCACAATATGTAAGATTTTTTTATTAAAATATCCAAAAACCACTAGAACAGTGTTATATATTTTGCTGACTTGTATACTTACATTATCCCAAATGTTTCGAAGAATGTTTAAATCCAAAGAAATAAGCAATTTTAACTAGTGAGACGGACCGTGTCCATAGTGTCATTGTGTCGCCTGCCAATGACGTCAAAACCCCTCGATTTCCGGTTTTGTTTTGTACAAAACATGGAAACACCAAAGACGCTTTAATATGTTATGTGTTTTATTAGACAGGTGACGACCGCACAGAGTAGCATTATAACAGAAC